ACCTTAAGTTGGTTTTTGTGTATGGGGTGAGATGTGGATCCTGCTTCAGCTTTCTGCAGGTAATAGTCCAGTTTTGCCAGCACCTTTTGTTGAAGAGGTTGTCATTTCCCCATTTGATAGATTTTTATTTCCTTGTTGAATATCAATTGACTGTAGATAGAATGGGTCCATATCTGGGTTTTTTTATTCTGTTCTACTGGTCTATGTGCCTGTCATAGTACTACTACCATACTGTTTTGGTTATTACAGCTGTGCAGTAGTTTTTGAGGTCAGTGAATGCTATACTTCCCTCTTGATTTTTGTTTTTCAGAAGTGCTTTGCTTATTTGGGGTCTCTTTCCTCTCCAAATAAACAGGTGCCTTTTTTATCTCCTTTAAAAATTAATTTGGTATCTGCACTGGGATTATGTCAAACATGTAGACTTCTTCTGATAGGATTGTCATTTTCACAATATTAAGTCTTCCTATTCATTAATAGAGAATATTTTTCAATTTATTTAATGTCTTTGTTTCTCACAGAAGTGTTTTCTAGTTCTTCGTAAAGGTCTTTTGTGTCTCTAATTAGGTTCATTCCCAAATACCTCAATTTGTCGTTGGCTATTGTAAATAGTACTGCTTTCTTGGTTTCCTTCTTTATGTTTTCTTTGTTACTGTAGAGGAATCCCACTGATTTATATATTGAGCATGTATCCTGCCACCCTACTAAATAGCAAAGCATTGTTGATAAAGTGAATCAAATCTGTTCTATTGTAAGAAACTTCAAGAAAGAAAACAGTGTTTTGTTTTATTAATCTTAAATTTTTGCACATTTTAAAATGAATATGTCCTTTGTGCCATTTTTACAGATCTGTAGGCTGTGTTTTCAGCATAACACCCCACTGGATGCAATTGCTCAGTTCCGAAAACACATTGACTTGTGTAAGAAAAAAATTGGAAGTGCGGAGTTGTCTTTTGAGCATGCTGCATGGATGTCTAAACAGTATGTTTTAAGTTGTACTTTTAGAATCTTAAAAAAGAAATAGCACATAGGAACTGGAAGAATACAATTAGCATGGACTTTGGTTCTTAATTAAATTTTTAAGGATCTAGCAAAAGCATGTTTCCAATAACAGTACATTTCTTTATTAGAAATATATTACTTCATAGTATCATCTCTTTCACGTAACATGTCTATTACATTCCTGTAGAGGAAGACCCCAGACCTGATGGATTGACACAGTAACTAGGGTAATGATAGTAGGTGTGTGAGATACAGTGAGATTGGCTCAAGATAGAGCAGAGTTCAGAGATACTGAGCTTAGGGTTGCTATGAGCCATACTCAACACAACTGCGCCTAATAACACCACCACAAAATTCCTGCTGTCATTGAGATTGATGTTTAAAAATTACTAAAATGAAACTGCAGGCATCTGAATATATATTCTATTGAAATCTGGTTTGATAATGTTACTTATAAAGACCTTCACACAAAAGAGTTGACTGCTTAAGTACAGGTTTTATTTGTAACTCCAAATTACTATGAAATTGCAATAATTAGTAACCATAAATCAATAGGATTGTTCTATTAATCTGACAAAGTTATAGATTCCAGGATGAATAATTTAGAAGCAAGCTCTTTTTAAAAAAATAAATAAATAAAATAATTTTTTTTTTCCTTTTTTTAAAGATTCCAGGCCTTTGGAGATTTATTTGATGAAGCTATTAAATTAGGATTGACAGCCATTCAAACTCAGAATCCAGGTTTCTATTATCAGCAGGCAGCGTACTATGCCCAGGAGCGGAAACAGCTTGCAAAAACCCTCTGTAATCATGAAGTAAGTTGTTATTGCACATTAGGAAACTAAATTATCTTGAAAGATAATAGGATTGACTGGTGGTATTATTTTATATCTTTTTTAAAAACTATTTTGTGTCTTTGATGTTTTCAGGAATTATAATTATTTTCAGTTTTGCTGGGGTGCCCCCCTTTTTTGAAAAATGAATTATGTAGTAGTTTTTCTTTGAAGAACTGATTGATCACTGTTAATTACTTAATGATTTAGATAGAAGAAAGTTTCTTTATAATAATAACCGCATTTTGTTCTTTGCCTCACTATCAGCTCATTGTTTTGTGTTTATGATCACAACTTTGATAATTTGAAAGTAACTAGAGGGATATGCTCTATTTTAACCCATTAGAAAGGATAATTTGTTTTGATTGGGTTTTTTTTTACTTCTTGGGATTAATTTTTGGTGAACTCTTAGGAATCAGAAGCCTAGTGTTAATTACATAGTTTATTAAATGTGACATTTCATTTTACCTTCTTTTTGTATGATTACATTTACATACCAAGTCTTACGTAAAAAAATACAAATCAAACTCAACTACCACCAAGTTAATTCTAACTCATAACAATCCTATGGGGACAGAATTGAGCTACCCATAGGATCTGCAGGGCTGTAAGTATTTTTGGAACTGGACTGCTGTGTCTCTAGTCTATGGAGCCATTGATGCGTTTGAACTGACAACCTTTTAGGTCAACAGAACACATTCCTATGGACGACTGTACGGTACCACCATAGGTCCTTTAGTGATATTGTGAAGTATACAAAATATATTTTAGTTTAAAAAAAGCTTGGCAATGCTCCATATTGGTAATAGGTAAATGTCAAGGAAATCTGGAAGAATAATGCATATATTATGAGCAATGGTAGAGAGTTACACACCAAACCAAAATACAAACCCACTACGATCAAATCTATTCCAACTCATACCAACATGCTTTGGGTCTCCAGGGCTGTACATCTGAAGTGGAGGGCACTGCCCATCTTTCCCCCTCAGAGCTGCATGTCAGTTTGCACTGACAGGAAAATTCAGCCTTTTCGTTAGCAGCATAACACACTATAGACACTGTCATTAGAGCTTCTTAGAAAGTTTATGGGTAATTCCAATTTTTATCCTTTTGCTTTTGGTTATTTTCTACATTTTCAGTTATATTTGTATTACATTTTGATGTCAAAGGAAAAAGTTTTTAAGAAGAAAAAGCAGTAAAATTCTGGTGTCTAAAATATACATCAGGGAGCTCTGGTGGCCTAGTGGCAAGAAGCTGTGCTGCAATCCCGAAGGCATGTGGTTCTAATCCACCAGATGCTTTGCTGGAGAAAAGAGGGGCAATTTCCTATGCCAGTCGGATCTGATTCAACAGTATAGAACAAGAAAAAGAAAAAAGAATAAGAGAAAAGAAAATGTACTTCATGAACAAAAGAAAAGATTCAGGGAAACTGTAATAATCAAAAGGAAGCTCTGATGGTTTAGAGGCAAGGAACTGAGCTGCAATCCTGAAGGCACACAGTTCAAGTACACCAGCTTCTTTGCAGGAGAAGGATACGTAAGCGCCTCCTGTGAGATTAACTGCCTCTGAAAACCTGCTGGTGGGTCAGCTGTAGGTCAGTTTTGACTCGATGGTACACAACAGTAACAACATATTAATTAAAAGGACTAATGGACCACGTGAACCATAACCTCTTTTGGCCTGAGACCAGAAGGATTACATAGTTTGCAGCTACCACTACCAGCTGTTCTGATCAAGATCACAATAGAAAGTTCTGGAGAGAAAGGAAAGAAAATGTAAAATAAAATTAAAAATCATAAAAATAATCTGACTGGCCTGACAGAAACTGGTAGAACCCTTTTAGACACCTTTCAAACCTGGGACAAAATCTAATCCCGGGAATCAGCTTTCAGCCAAATAGTAGGCAGGTCTACAATGTGAACAGGAACACCTGTGAGGAATATGCTTCTCAGCAATCAACCATATGAGTCCAAAGGGCAGCATTTACCCAAGAACAAAGCTTGAAACATAGGAAAGGGCAAGAAAGATGGACAAATGTGAATGGGAAGAAGTGACAAGAATGCTGTTACATTGAAGGGATGGTAATTAATATTGTGAAAGAAAATGTATATAGTTTAGTGAGAAACTTACTCTATAAATGTTCACCCAAACTACAGTAAAGGATAGGGAACGGGAGACTAAATAAGGAAGGAGGAGCAGAGGTGTGATAAATAGATGCCAATACACAGGAATCTAGAAAACAAGTTGAAAAGAGAAAGACTACGTTTCAGAGACAACAGAGAGAGAGAGCGCGCGCTTTCCTTCAGTTGACTTCTGTTTGTTGAAAGCCGATATGTAATCCACAAAGGCAATGTTCTTCTCTCTAAATTGTTGAGTAGCAGTTGGAAACTTGAAACCTTGCAAATGATCAGCTAAGGTGTAGCCTTTGGTTTCCCCTTGTCTGGAGCAAAGAAGAGAGAGAGTGAAGAAAATCAATGATATATGAAAATAATTAGCCCATCAGACCAGTAGACCATACAAACCTCATTAAGACCTGAGACCAGAAGAACTAGGTGGTGGTTTTTGCTTTTTTTGTTGTGTGTCGTCAAGTCTGAACTGACCCAGAGCTGAGTCTGCAGCGGATTTTCAGAGGCAGTTAATCACACGTGAGTAGATTACCCACCTTTCTCCCACGCAGCTTCTAATAGATTCGAACTACATGCCTTTGGGATTACTACACAGCTTCATAACCAGTAAGCCACCAGAGCTCCTTGGTACCTGGTAACCATTGCTAACTCTTCTGAAACAGATACCAGCAGAGGGTTCTGGATGGAATGGAGAGAAATGTAGAACAAAACTAATTTTCAGTAGTGGTCAAGCTTACTGGTTTCACAAGACTACGGCCCTAACCACCCTTTGAGCCTTATAACTGAGCTTACACCAGTGCCATCAAGTAATAGATTTATGGAAGGGGAACAGTAGCACCAGAGAATATTTGGACATTAGAGCTATCAACCACACAAAATCACTAGGACAGCATTTGCCCAGAATTAAGTATAGAAATCAGGAAAGAAGAGGGTAGAAGGATAAATGGAAATAACCATGGAGAGTGTGGGAATTGATGATAAAACGTGGGATTTGTTATGGGATTTTTTATCAGTGTCATAAAATATGAATGCCAATCTGCTCTATAAACTTTCACCCAAATCACAATAATAATTCTTCTTTAAAAACTTCCATGTATCCCATCCTCATCACTCACTGTCATTAAAATCAAATTGACTTGTTACGTTTAATTTTTATGAGACCACCATTTAAATATTAAATATTTCTAGCTTAGTTTTTGCTGGATTTAATTTACTGTGAATATTTACAATTTCAATATTTATATATGCTATGTCTTAATAATTAGTAGAACCTTTTTATTTAATAAAATATTTGAGGAAAGTTGATTTGTCATGTGTTACATAACACTACTGTGTTTTCATTTGCAGGCTTCTACAATATATCCCAGTCCTGATCCCTTAGAAACACAAACAGGGGTTCTTGACTTTTATGGACAGAGACCATGGCGGCAAGGAGTACTAAGTAAATCCTTTTCCCTACTCTCTCTCTTCCTTTAAGTTAAGAGTTAGCTGCAATAATTTCTCCGTTGCTTCCATCAAGCATGAGAAATATATTGTTATAAGAATGTTTTTTAAGTTTTTTAAAAGTTGTTTACAATGTCTGTTTAGTTTTCAGAATGCTTTGTATCACTGAATCTAAGAATAATAGTATAGTTAAAGTGGATAACATTAAAATGTTATCATAAAACCTCTTAAATTTAATGTCATGATGGTTTATTTAAATATTTTAATTTCAATTAGCTTTAATTTATTATACTTGACATCATAAAGCATCATTAAATTTTTCTTTAGCTTAGAAATAATTGCTCTGTATTTTTTATATGTTTTATACCATTTATTTGAACTTGAAGGAAACTTGGTGATGCAAACAGCTAAGTTTTCAGTTGCTAACCGAAAAGTTAAGATTTACCCAGGGGCTCCATGAGAGAAAGATCAAGAGATCCACTTACATAAAGAGCAAAAACAAATTTAAACTCTGCATCCGGATTGATTTCTGCTCCTAGTGATCCTGCAGGACAGAACAGAACAGAACTGCCACCTTGGGTTCCCAAGGCTGCAATCTTTGCAGAAGCCAGTTGCCACCTCTTTATGCAACAGACTGTTGAGTTTGAACCACCAGCCTTTCACTTAGCAGCAGTGTACTTCATTAATGTGCTATTAGGGCTCCTCCTTTAAAGACTAAAACCAAGAAAATCCTATAGGACAGATTACTCTGTCACTGGTTTGCAGTGGCTTCATCACAGTCTACTTGATGACACCTAACAATATTTTAATTTGAGTAGCTTCTCTGGCTTGTGAACCTTCAGTGTTTAATAAATTATTCACTCTCTAGGGAATATATCCTGTACCAAAGTACGTTGAATTGTTGTTGTTGTTAAGTGCTGTCGAGTTGTAGACAACACATAGCGACCTTATGAATGAAAGGCCTGGTTTTTATAACTTTAATCATTTCTCCACATTCATAGAGTTTCTGGAAGCAAGCGATTTACGGAAGTGGATGCCACTCCTGCTTTCAAGCTTATTTTAATCGGGGAGCTCTACCAAACACTGTCCACCGTGGGTAACCATTAGTGCATTTGACACATCAGCGTCACAGTGTTCAGCTTCACAGCAACCACAAGTTATCTCTGTACAGCAAATGGACAGACCAGTGCTATACCACTTAGAAGAATGTTTGACCAAAAACAATTAAAACCAGGCCTGAGGGCCGCAGATTAAAATCACCCACCTTTGGCTTGGTAGCATAACTTTCTATCCACTAGGCTGAGCTCTCTCTTTGTTGTTGTTATTGCTGTTAAATGCCCTTGAGTCATAGAGGAATCATAGGGACCCTTTGAACAAAAGACCTTGCTTGATATAGGTTATATGTATCTATACAGTTGATAACATAAGGTATATGTATCAGTGTATACATTGATATATATTACCAGTGTATATTGATACATTATTCTGTAGGTGGTTGATGCCCAAGGTAAAACTTTACAGAGCTCAGTAATATTTTCTTCAGAATAGGAATCTTGAGGTGTTTCTGTGCTAATAAAGCTGTCTCTTAGAACCTCTAAGATTCTAGAATGTTTCATAATCTTAAAAGCATCAAAGCAAAAGCAACAGAGTATACACCATACAATGTTGATGTGAAAGATTTATGTTCAGTAAGCTATCTAAAATGGGTTGTGTCTTGTCTTATACAGGTTTTGATCTTTCTGACCCTGAAAAAGAGAAGATGGGAGTTCTTGCCATTCAGCTGAGGGAGAGAGGTGTTGTTCACTCAGTGAGTTCCCCCCCCCCACCTCCTGGCAACATAAACCATTTTTTTCAATATATAATATTCTAGAAGTATTAGAATTTTCAACACTTTTATCTTTTCTTACAGGAATTAATAATAACTCTTCTGAGTAATGCTGTTGCACAATTTAAGAAGTATAAGTGTCCAAGAATGAAAAGTCATCTGAGTATGTATTCATAATGTGTTACAATTTTCATACAACATGAATAATTTCATTCTGTGTATATTAAATCTTTTTTTCCCCTTTATAGTGGTCCAAATGGGAGAGGAATATTATTATGCAAAGGATTATACCAAAGCTTTAAAGTGAGTCCTGTTCACCAATTGTTAGTATTCTGATTCTTTTTAGTGAAATTAGAATAAATATTTGTGTTGAATTTATAATTTTCATATTTATCTCTGCTTTTACTAAGCTCCATTTCTGTGATAATTTCTTCAAGTACCATTTCCTGGCATAATTTTTTTTAAGGTTGGACCCCACATTTAGATAAACATGAAAATACCTGTTAAACAACCTCCAGAAGATTTTCTTGTATTTATGTAAAGTGAGGAAATCACTTCATTTTGTTTTCTTTAAGAACTACTCAAGCCCTTTCCTTTGAAGTTGTTCAAGAATGTCTTACATTTTTATCCTCTTTCAGGTTGCTGGATTATGTGATGTGTGATTATCGGAGTGAGGGATGGTGGACCCTACTCACATCTATATTGACTACTGCTTTGAAGTGTTCCTACCTCATGGCCCAGTTAAAAGATTACATTACGTATTCCCTAGAACTCCTTGGAAGAGGTAACCTGAAGTTTTTCCAATAAAATTTTGAATCTGTAAAATAATTTAGTATCTGTTTAAGCTTTTCTAAATGTAAAGAATAATTCAATCTGAAGTAATCTAATCATAATCATATTCTCATTTATGGGCAAGTCAGTGCTATGTGAAGGTGTTTATAAATGGAACTTGCTGTGGTTAAGGGCTTTTGATAATGGAGACTGAAACTTTTTTACTTTATATCTTTCAATGTAGCATAAAGTGGATTTTCACAAATGCAAATATGTAAAGTGTTAGAGTTAACTTTTAGGGAATCTTGCTATCTGTAAATTTTCTGGAATTGTGCTTGCTTGTTTTAGAGGAAGTACTTACCCTTTAATATTTTTAAAACATTAGATGGAAGATGGGAACTTACTTGCATCTCTTATAGTTATTTTTTTTTCTCTCTTCATATAAGCTTCAACTCTGAAAGATGAACAGAAATCTAGAATAGAAAAGAACCTCATAAATGTTTTAATGGTAGGTTGAAATTCCTTATATGAAATATTTTCTAAGACTGTGCATATAACTCTGTTGAGCTAACTAAGCATATATGTATGTGTTTTTAAACTGACTGAACAGTTATTTAACTCTTGGTACAGAATGAGAGTCCTGAACCTGAACCCGACTGTGATCTATTAGCTGTGAAGACTGCTCAGAAGTTGTGGGCGGACCGTGTTTCTCTAGCTGGCAGCAATGTCTTCACAATAGGAGTACAGCACTTTGTGCCATTTGGTGAGTAGCCAACATCTACATTATTGTTTGAGAGAAATCACCTTCACTTCTACAAAAGGAATGGATACAGAGTAGTAAATGTAAAAATGAAAGAAATGGTCCTCAGAGTACAGTAACTTTTTTCCCCCTTTTTCTCCGTTGACGTATAAAGATGATCAAGATCTTAAACATTTGGTTTGTGGTGATAGATAGATAGATAGATAGATAGATAGATAGATAGATAGATAGATAGATATCATTTCTATTTCTGATGCTTCTTGGAAGGAATTGAAAAGATTCATACTTTAATGTATAAGCAGATGTTTTAATTAGTTATTCATACTTTTTTTACCTCCATTGGGCATTATACTTTTTCTTAAAGCTTATGTACTTTATTATTGGTACAAAATTGAATGTAGTTCATCATTTAGAATTTAATGACATTGAGTTATGCAGTCATTTTCACCTTTCTTTTTACAATTACTCTTTTCATGAATACAGCCTTACTGCAGCCCCCCCCAAGATTTTAATCTAATCTTTCAAGTTACTTTTAGTAGTTTGATCCTATATAAACAGTTCTCAAAAAGCATAATGTTCAAGGCAGACTTTTTTTTAAACTGTTATTTGGTTTTAAGAATACTTGAGAGAGTATATTTATTTATGTGTTAAAGATTATTTGAGGAAATAGTTTAAGGATTAACCAGTATACATAGCTCCAGAAAGTCTAGAGTTCATGACAGTTTGGTATTTTTCCACTTTTAATTAGGATTCTCCTATGAAATCTTTACTCAAAATGTTCAGTAATGGCACCAGGCACCATCTAGTTCTTCTGGTTTCATGACAAAAGAAGCAATCATTCATAAATTAAATTAACCACACATTCCATATCCTTCTCTTATTTCTGAATCTCCTTTTTTCTGTCACTCTAGGCAAATAGAGACCAACTGTTAAGCCTTGGATAAGCACTTGCAAGCTTTTAAGACCCCAAATACTACATGATAAATAAGGAGGTAGAATAGAAACACTACATAAGTTATTATGCCAGTTAACTATGTCCCATGAAACCATGATCCTAACCCTCCCCTGCCAAAATTGGCAGACACAGAACCATTTCAGGAATTAGCTTTCAATCAAGAACCAGTGGTGATGAAAGAAGAAATTCAAGCTAAATTGAACACATTACCAAAAAATAAGTCCCCAGGAATCTACGGGACACCAACTGACATGTTTCAACAACCGATGCAGCTATAGACATGCACACCAAACTATGCCAGGAAGTTTGGAGGACACCTACCTGCCCAGCCAGCTAAAGGGATCCATATTTGTTTCCCTAAAACAGTGATAGATAAAACAGAATGTGGAAATCACTAAACAATATCATTAACATCACATGCAAATAAAATCCTGCTGAAGATTATTTTAAAATTACTACATCAATACATCAGAAGAACCTTCAGAAATTCAGGCTAGGCTTAGAAAAAATCATGGCACAAAGGAAATCATTGCATCATTGCTGCTGTCAGATGGATCTTGGCTGAAAGCAGTGAATACCAGAAAGATGACTGTTCGAGTTTTGTTGACAATGCAAAGGCTTTTGACTGTGTAGGTCAGAACAAATTATGGTTGACATTGAGAAGAATGGGAATCATAGTAACCTTTAATTGTGCTCATGCAAAACCTATATCTAGACCAAGAAGTTATTGTGCGAACAGAGCAAGGGAACACTGTATGATTTACAATCAGGAAAGGTAAGCATCAAGCTTGTATCCTTTCTCCTTACTTATTCAATCTGTGTACTGAGCAAATTATTCAAGAAACTGGACGAAGAAGAAGGTGGGATCAGGACTAGAGGAAGATTCAGTAACTTGAATTATGCATGTGACCTCAAGTGAAGAGGACTTGAAATAAATGCTTGCTGTAGAAGATCAAAGACTATAGCCTTCAATATAGCTTACATTAGTCATCAAGCAAACAAAAATCCTTGTCACTGGACCAATAGGCAACATTATAATAGATCGAGAAAAGAGAGAAATGTCAGTAATTTCCTCTTATGTGAATCTACAATCAACACTGTTGGCACCAGAATTCAAAAGCTGCATTACCTTGGGAAAGTCTTCTGTCAGAGACCTTTCCAAAGTGCTCTGAGGAGCAGTGATGTCAGTTTGAAAACAAGTGTACCTGATCTAAGCCCTGATCATTTCATTGACTTGCTGTGCAGCTGAAGGTTGGACAGTGAATAGGGATAACAGAAGAAGAATTTTGTTTTGTGGTGGTGGAGAACAGTGAATATCTCAAAGACTGCCCAAAGGACAAACAAATATGTCTTGGAAAAGGTACAGCCTTGCCTCTTTGGAGGCAAGGATAATGAAACTTCAACTCACTTACTTTGAGCTTGTTGTTAAGAGAGTCCAGTCATTGGCAGAGGTCAACATATTTGGAAAAGTGGAGGGTCCAAGGAGGAGGAGGAGGGGAAGACAGGCTTGAGAAGATGAGGATAGAATAGGGCAAGCTTCAGATCTATTGTTCATAGAATTGCTATGTATTCAACCTGACAGCACCCAACAACAAATCCTCACAACAAGGAACCAAATCCCACGAGGTATTTGAAGAGTATTAAATATACCATGAACTGCCAAGAGAACCCACAGGTCTGTTCTGGAGGGTGAAACCAAGATACTTCTTGGAGGCAAGGATTTTGAGACTCTATCACATACATTGGGCATGTAGCCGAGGAGGGACCAGTCTTTGGAGAAGGATGTCATGCTTGAAAGGGTGGAGGGACAGAACTGGAGTGGAAGACCCTGGATGAGACAGAATGACAAAATAAACTGGGGTAATGGGAGTAGGTGTGTCAAAGACAGTGAGATTGGCTCAGGATAGAGCAGGGCTCAGAGCCATTGTGCTTAGGGTCACTATGAGTCATAGCTGACTTGAAGGCACATATCAATAACAATCTTAAAAAATTTTTTTAAAGATACTTTCTTTCAACAAAGTAACTGATTCGAATAACTTATCTGGTAATAACTCATTTTTGTTTTATGTCTAGTACAATGCAAAGCCAAGTTTCATTCTCCAAGTTTTCATGTTGATGTTCCTGTTCAGTTTGATATTTATCTGAAAGCCGATTGTCCACATCCCATTCGATTTTCTAAGCTCTGTGTCAGCTTTAATAATCAGGTAATAGTACCTTTTTTATATGTTTTTGTGTTAAACTAGGTAGAACAAACGTAGTGCATTTTAAGTCTTGGTATTTTCATAATAGAAAATGAACTTTTAGAAGTAAATGTTTATTTCTGAATTTCTGTACTAGCAAGCAAATGTATACTTCTACTCAATTTTTTGTTTTCTAATTTTTAAAATAATTTGCTCTGTATCTTATTTTAACATGTTTTTAGTATTGGATGATTTAAAAAAAAAAGAATAGGATAACCAATGCCAAATTACCATCAAATTGATTCCAACTCATAAAACCCTATGGGGCTTTCAAGGCTGTAAATCTTTATGGAGGGCTGACTGCTGCATCTTTTTCTTTTTTTTTTTTTCTATAATTATATTTTATTAATTTTCATAAACATTTACAGAGATTTTGGGCTTCCACTCATTCATTGTTGCACTATTCTCTCTACCCTCCTCCCAGTTTGTTCTTGTCCAAATGCCACAGTGCTTGTCAAAGCCAGTTCTGATTAATCTTCTTTGCTGCATCTTTTTCATTCGACATGTGGCTAATGGTTTCAAACTACTATCTTCAGCACCTAAGCACTTTAAACACTGTGCAACCAAATCTATTTGGAGGTAAAAAAGGATATAAAATGAAAAGTAAAAGTATGATTCTCTAGTTCTCCAGAGGTCATCATCTTCTTGAATAGTCTAGATAATAACATAAACCTAAACCTTCTGCTCTGAGGTCATTTCCAACTCAGAGCAATCCTCCATCCAGTTCCGAGGCAGTGGTTCTTTACAGGAGGAGATTGCCTGTCTTCCTCCCTCAGAACAGCTGGTGGATTCATAGATACACACTACTGACTGTCGGTTGGCAGCCAGAGCATATATTATGATTGATTCTAACTAGCTCCTGTCAAGTTGCTCAGACTCCCAGTGAACCTAAATAATACCCTGTGGGATCCACAGCATTCTCATAGATTGATTTTTCAGAAGTAGATGGCCAAAAAAAAAAAAGAAGTAGATGGCCACATTTTCTTCCTAGTTAATTCTTCATCTAGAAACTCCTCTGAACCCTATTTAGTTTTATAACAACATACAAACTTCCATAACAGATGGGTGGTAACTGTACATGAGTTATATTCCACCTGGCAGTTGAACTCAGGAGAGTGTATAGAGAGCAAGAATCCTGCCACTGAACCACCACTACATTTATATTGTTTAGTGCCATCAACTTGAGCACAACTCATAGCAATTCTATAACAAAAGATCTGAACTCTGTTCTATAATTATTGTCATTTCTCTAATGTTCATAGAGTTTTCAAAGGCCTATTGTTTAAAAAGTGGATGCCAATCCTACCTCCAGGTGTATCTTAATCTGGGAGCTCCACAAAACACTGTCCACCATGGGTAACCATTATGACATTCGACACACCTGTGGCACAGTGTTCAGAATCACAGCAACCCCAGGTTACCTCTGTACAGCAAACTGACAGACCAGTGCTGTACCAAACAAAATTAACACCAGTAAATGCAGTCGGCTCACACATGATTGTGAATGAAATAAAAAACAACCAGTTTACACCTCACTTTTCAACTAAAACAAGAGAACTTACACTCCAAAATCCGACTGCTTCACACAGGAGCCGCCAAACTACATTTATGCAAGTATATATAAATAGCTTTTTCTCCCCTGCAGTTGAGATCATACCAAATTTTCTGCATTTGAACATCTTTGAGGTGTGATCTAGTAAAAGAATAAGACTTGATTACACCCAACTATTTAAATTTTAAACTCATTTAAAATAATTATCATCTGGTTACACAAAAGGTATATTGATTGAGTTTTTAACCAGCAAGAATTGAGAGTTGAAATATCCTTAGCATTATGGTATACCTGAGAAAGTATAGCAAGTAATTCCTTTATAATTAAACATTTGAAGGATAAGGACCAACACCATAACCTTCATAGCCTTTATCACAGCTGTTCACCTTTGGGTGATTAGGTGATAAATTATCCCATTTCCAACAAGCATATCCTACTTCTTTTGTATTAAAAGTGAAAAAAAGATAAAGCAATTGATTTAAAAATATAAATATATTTTATTTATAATATAAATAAGAATATATTATGAATATATCTTATTTTGATATTCAAAATTTAAATCCCAAGAAAAAGTAAAGAGTATTTGCTAAAGTTTTACATACATGGACTAGCATAGATGAAAAGTATAAATTTTAACTACATCACAGTTTTGTACAATTGCAATTCACCTGCTGATATAGGTGATTCTTGGAAAATTCTTGCTATTGAATGGCTGAGAAGGATGATTTTATAGATATATACACGAACAATACTTGTGTATATACTCACCTGTAAGTATGAGGGAGCTTTCTCTGGTGGCCCCGATAAGGACATAAGGTGACAACCCACATGCAGATGACTCGAATCCACCAGGTGCTCCTCAGGAGAAAGATGGGCAGTCTTCTTCCATGTAATTTACAGCCTCTGAAACCATGCTGGAGGGCCAGCTATGAGTCATTTCCGACTTGCAGCAATAAGAGAGAGAGTGTAAAGAGTTTATTTTTCTGTAAAGTACATTTAGTTTGAAACAGGCTAAGTTTGAGGTGATAGTGGAAATGTCCTCCATACAATTGAGAGTATGAGCTTATAGTTAAGGAAAATATCAAATTTTAAACTTTTACACAAAAGATAGCACAGAGGTGCTGAATAGGTAGAAATGAAGAAAATTTCCAATAAAGTAACCACAAAGAGAAAAGAAGTCTGAGGACTGAAATTTAAGAGGACAAGAAGAAAAAATGATTTGATAGACAAACAGTAAGTAGCCAAGAAGGATGAGAAACAGGAAATACTATAGTGTCACAGAAGTGAAGTAGAAAGAGAGCTATTCAAGACAAAGAGGTGATTATCAATAGCATCCAGTGGAGCAGAAATCAAATGTTTGTTCTTCTGAGGAAAAGCTTTTGTATAGTGAATGTTCTGTTACTGATCATAGCAATAAGTTGGTAAGCATCTCAAATAGAGACTAAAATACTTTTTAACAATTAACTCTTCATATTGTTTCAATTTTCGTTGACGTTTTAAGTTAAACTAAATAATTCCAGATCATTTTGTGTTTAGTGGTAGGAAATCATCTGAGATTTATGTCATGGAGTAATAGGGGTAGATGTGTCAGAGAAAATAAGGTTGGCCCAGAATAGAGCAGGGTTCAGAGCTGTTGTACATAGGGTTGCTATGAGTTGCAAGTGACTCAATGACACATAACAACAACAACAACTCTAACCCTTGACAAATTCCCCCTCCCCACCCTCCAGGAATACAACCAGTTCTGTGTGATAGAAGAAGCATCTAAAGCAAGTGAAATTTTAGGAAATTCAACTCATGAAAAAATGTGCCTAGTTCCTGGTAAAACAAGAAAATATTTATTTAAATTTGTTGCGAAAACTGAAGACGTGGGAAAGAAAATTGAGGTAAGTTATGTAGTTTGTTTTAAAATGTTTAATTATAGAAGTATGCTTATGTCATAAAAAATTCAGATAATGTACAAGTTTAAGTAAAACAATGGAAATTATCTACCTGAAATTTCCAAGAGAGACTATTATAATGATTTGATAGATTTCTTTTGAGAAATTTTTTATGAACATATTTATAGTTAAAAATCTTATCCAGTGAGTAAAATTGAGACTATTATACATAATATTCTGCAACTTGCTTTTTCACCGAGTAGTGTGTGTTAGAAAGTATTGAATGTCAAGTACATAGAAAGAACCTAGTATTTTAATGATTGCATAATTGGTTATGAAATTTTAAATAATATATGGCATTTATAAAATAAGTTTTATGCCAGTTCGTGTTGACAGTGTATTGTTAATGTTTAAACACTGCTGTGTTGTATAGTTTTAAAGGAAAGATAAATATCTTTAAAAATTAATATAGATTAAAGTGGCTTTCAGAAATGTGAAATAATGAAAGTAATCTTTCTTGTATACAGAGTTTGAGACTGACTATATTGGTTTAAATTCTAACTCTTTAGGGTATTAACTTGTGATTAGTTTAAGGTTGTTTTTTTTTTTTAACTAGGCAATTACCTCTTTTTGTCCCAGTTTATTTACCTATAAAATAAGGGTCCTAATAGCACCTATTACTCTGATGGTCTAGTGGTAAGAAGCTGCACTGTTATGCCTAAGGCACACAGTTTGAATCCACCAGCTGCTCTGTAAAAGATGGATAGTATCCTCTTCTGCAGTTAATTGCCTTTGAAAACCTGCCAGAGAGTCAGCTATGGGTCGGTTCTGACTTGATGGTACACAACAATAGCAGTTCTTAGGGGGTTCTGACTGCATAGTTCATAGGGAGTTGTGCTCCTAACCCTAAGGTTATTCCTCTCTGGCAGTTTGAATCCACTGCCCATACCTTGGGAGGAAGATGAGCAATCTCCTCTTAGGCACTTTACAGCTTCAGAAAACATACTGGAAGGTCAGAAATTGATTCTCATTCGATTGAAATGAGTGAGTGAATAGTACCTATCTATCTCGCAACATTTTGTGAGGACTCCTTGGATTAACTAACTGTATATAAGATCAGAAAAGCAGCATTTGCCCAAGAGCAGGAAGGGGTAAGATAAAAGAATTAATAAAAATCAGAATTACAGAGTTGTGGGCAAAGTGTGATTACCTTGTGAGGGTATTGTAAGTGATGGTATAAAACAAATTTTGTATGAATGGTTGAATGAACAACCGATATATTTTGTAAATTTTCATTCAAATCACAATTTTTTAAAAAAGGTTTTGTACCAGAACAAAATAGATGAATGGGACCATCTAAGAATCAAATCCCTGTGCACATCAAAAAACTTCTCTAACAGGGTAAAAAGGAAACCCACAGACTAGGAAAAATATTTGGTAATGAAATCAGGAGACGAATTGCATTGGGTAAGTCTGCTGTCAGGGATCTCTCCAGAGTACTGAAAAGCAACTTCAGTCTGGAGACTAAGGTGCATGTGATCCAGGCCATAGTCTTTGCAATTGCTTGCTATGCATCAGAGAGCAGGACAATGATTAGGTATGATAGAAAGAGAATTGATGCCTTTGAGCTGTGGTGTTGGAGAAGAGTATTGAATATACCATGGACTGCTAGGAGAACAAACAAGTTCATCCTAGAAAGGGTGAGACCAGTTGCTCCTTGGAAGCAAGGATTCTGAGGCTCCGCCTGACATATTTTGTGCATGTTGCAAGAAGGGACCAGTCCTTGGAGAGGGACACCATGCTTGGAAGGGTGGAGGGACTGAGAAAGAGAGGAAGATCATCTATGAGATGGATTGATTTAGTGACAAGGGTAATGAGGTAGTAGGTGTGTCAGGGACAGTAAAGTTGGCACAGGATAGAGCAGGTTTCAGGGCTGTTGTACATAGGGTCACATAACATAACAATGGCACATAATAATAACAACAATGAAATATCTGATAAGGGACTCATATAAAATGTATCTACTACTACAGTACCTCAACAAGAAAAGGTGAACAACCCTATGGCAGAATGGGCACAGGATATGAATTGACACTTCAGCAAAGAAGATATTCAGAGGGCAAACAAACATAGGAAGAAATGTTCAAAATCCCTAGCTATCAGAGAGATGCAAATAAAAACGACTATGAGATGCTGGGGAGGGTGAAGGGACATCGCAGGAGAGGAAGGCCCTCTATGAGGTGGATTGATTCGGTGACTGGGATAATTGGGATGGGAGTGTCAGAGACAGTGCAATTGGCACAGGACAGAGCAGAGTTTAGGGCTGTTGTACATAGGGTCGCTATGAGTGACAAGCGACTCAATGGCACATAACAACAACAACATGAGATAACATCTCCAGTAACAATAGTGAAGTTCAGTAGAGCAGCAAATGATAAATGCTGTCAAGGATATGGAGAGATTGGAACCCTTATTTTACTGTTGGGAATATAAAATTGTGCAACCACTATGAAAGGCAGTTTGGCATTTTCTAAAAAATTTGGAAATAGAAATACCATTTGACCCAGCGATGCAACTACTGGGAATATTCCCTTAAGAAACCATAACCACCATCCAAACAGAAATAATGCACACCCAGGTTTTTTGCTTTGTTGTTTACAATAGCAAAGAAATGGAAGCACCAGGTACCATCAACAAATGAATGGATAGAAAAACTACGGAATGCTACACAGCACTGAAAAACAGTGAACTCATAAAACGTTTCACAACATGGGGGAACCTGGAGGATATCATGCTGAGTGAAATATCTCAGTCACAAATGGATAAATACTACATAGCACCACTGTTATAAAGCAAGTCTGATGTTTGGAGTTGGGATGAGAATAGCATAAGCGTGGATAGATAATGACCATTGCATTGGAACATATGAATGAAGAACTGTTAAAAAAATGGATGATTAGGCATTATACATATGACAGCAGCCCAGGAAAAGAGGTATATCATTGCAAAGAGGACTAGAGGGCAGGGGGAATGTAAATAATTATGCAACAATGAATGAATATTTAAAAAAAAGAAAAGTAGAGTGGGAGTAGGGAGAGAAAGGGGGTAAAATATGCAGTAGTGAATGAATGAAAATCTAACTTCTTTGTAAACAGTAGTTAAAATCACAATTAAAATTTTCTTTTTAAATAAAGGTTTTGTGAAGAGTAAACCACTTAATTGATGTAAATTGTATAGATAAATTATTAACATATAGCACTCATTAATTTTTTGTTTTCTATTCTTGAATGGGAATGATTATGTATTCTAAATTTTGGATCATTTTTAAAGACAGAAACGTAAGACTGTAATCCCTTAAACTAGAACAGTTATTATTCCTATTTTTTAAGATGAAGATGTTGAAACCCAGATTATACCCAGAGTATAATTAATCAATGTCATAGAGTATGTAGCAAGAATAAATGCCAGAATAAGCCTCAGAAAGCAGGTGTTCTGACGTCTAATACACAAGTTCTCTAGATTAACTCTCAACTAGCAAAATAAGATAGACGGTTTTGGAGAGGGGATAATGACCAACAAATGTGAGATTGCATTTCTGACAGACCTTTTTCTTTTAGATTACTTCGGTGGATCTGGTTCTAGGCAACGAAATGGGAAGATGTGTGGTTCTAAACTGGCAGGGAGGAGGAGGAGATGCTGCTTCCTCCCAGGAAGCCTTGCAGGCATCGCGTTCATTCAAAAGGCGACCTAAACTGCCGGACAACGAGGTCCACTGGGACAGCGTGATCATTCAGGCAAGCACAATGTAAGGCAAATGGCACCGGGTCAAACTGCCAGGTTTTTAAATACTTTGTTTTAATAGTTTAGTTCTTTTTTTTTTTTTCTTTCCCAGTCTGCTTACCCAAAGCTTTTTTTAAAGGATCATATCTAGAGTTCCAAACATTTCCGTACATCTCCGACATGAGCCTCCTGCCCTCACTAATGAAATGTACTGTTTGGCTGTGACTGTTCAGTCCCATGAAAAGACTCAGATCAGAGATGTGAAGCTCACTGCTGGGTTAAAACCAGGTAAACATTCTTTAACTATAATCCGTATCAGTGTACTGTATAACAGGCAGAGTTGCAAATTCCAAGGTGTTTGTTTAAAATGTGGTTATAATGTAGTGTTCTTCATAAAGCATTGATTGTTAATGTTTGAATTGTCTATTTTAAAACACAAATGTTAACACTTTCAGGACAGGATGCCAATTTAACTCAGAAAACTCATGTGACTCTTCATGGAACAGAACTATGTGATGATTCGTACCCTGCTTTACTTACTGACATTCCTGTTGGAGATTTATACCCAGGAGAACAGGTAAACTGCATCACTGCCATTGGAAAAGAGGTCGGCTAGTTTGTAGTTTTAAATATAGTGTGAATTTTTAAACAGTTTTCTGAGATTTAAAAGTTATGTCACAAATGAATACTTCATACACATTTTAACATGTGTAAAATCTTTCAAAGCCATTTTTATATAAGTGGGCACTAAAAACAAGTGATCCTATTAAGAATGATTTGCCTGATAAAGCAACTATTGTTTGTATTTAGTGAAATAACTTGTTAGTCAACCCTTGTTTCCAAGTCAAACACAAAGACTCCATGGGAAGTTGAGAATGATTGAAAAAATAGAGTAGTAATGACTGGCTAGATAGTTGTACTGGCACTCACTATCAAGAGCCAAGCCTGTCCGGTGGCTGGAATCCAATAGCCTCTCTATACGAGCAGGATGGCAGTCTGCTGCCATGCAGTATTTAGTCTCCGAGACCCACTGGAAGATCAGCCATGAGTTGATGCCTGTTTGACAGCAGTGAAGGACAACATGTTTATGCTGTGGCAGGAATATGTTAAGAGCACTTTTCTGGGGTGGGATCTTTGATTATTTACGCACAACAAGCTTATAAAAAGTGTTAAAAGAATTTAACCAGTTGATATAATAAACTTAAAATATGGGAACATTATTCTAGAATAACCATATCAGAAATCTGTATCTTATTCATTCTATTAAATTTTGTATTGTTACAGCTAGAAAAAACAATATATGTTTGCTGTGGAACAGTGGGTTCAAGAATGTTTCTTGTGTATGTTTCTTACCTTATCAATACAACTGTTGAAGGAAAAGACATTGTTTGCAAATGTCATAAGGTAATTTTTTCTTTCTTTCCTTTTCCCCCCCTTAAGCTATTTCACAAAGCATCATGTATAGTGTATTCCCTTATTTTGTATTAATTTTAGTTTACCTGTAAAATAAGCAGCTTAATTGCTTGTGATCTGTTACACATTTTAATTAAACCTCTGTTGATTTTCTTAGCATTAGTATTTAGATTTGTTGAGACTAGCATGCATTACTTCAATGTTAGACTGAGAAATCGGCCTTTATAACTTATATGTAGAGTAAGCAGATATGAGAACTTTCACAGTCATGTTAGATACTTGAGACTAACTCTATCTACTTTATAAAACTACACATTAAATAAAAATCTGTAAGCTGGCACATAGTTCTGTAGGATGGAAGTTATTCAAGAGGATATTATATTTATTAAGGATCATATGTAAAAATAGAAAAGCTACTGTAGTCACAGCCCAAAAGCAGTTACTAGTAAGTCTGTTTCTTATGTGCCCTTTTTTTGTGTATATGGAATTTAAAAGTATGTTTATATAGATTTGAAAGGTGGAGAGTCAGTGGAAGAAAGACCCTCAGTGAGATGTACTGACACAGTGACCGCAGCAGTGAGATCAAGTGTGTCAAGAGATGTGAGGACGGCATAGCATAGGGCAGGGTTCATAGGGTCGTTATGAGTCATACTCAATTTGATGGCACCTAACCACAAAACTTACATCTTTAATCATATTATATGTAGTAATTGTGTCCTCTTCTTTTAAATGGAAAATTATGACATTTTAAATCTTAATCTTGGCACATTCTTGTCCCACACTTACTCTTAGGAATTTAGTCCCCATCCCAGCAGAGGAAAAGGCCTGGCAGTTTGGGGCTTTATGATCTGGGTGCTGCACTGACCCTCACCCTCACATTGGATTACTTAAAGCACTTTAGGAGGGAAAACCTCAAGAGAATTAGAGTATTTCTCAAGTAGGAGGAGGAAGGCAGTTAATACGCTATAAAAAAATCTCACATACCCCTTTACCATTAGTAATGTTTGACTCAGTTAGTGAATATCCACCAGATTGCTAGGCTGTAAATTGTTAAGGAAGGAAAATACCCATCTTTCTCCTATGACGTATTTAGTAGATTCTGACTGCAAACCTTTCAGTTAGCTTGACGCGTTATATACTGCCCTAAAAAAGCTTTGTTGTTGTTATGTGCCGTCGAGTCGCCTGCGACTCATAGTGACCCTATGTACAACAGCCCTAAACTCCGCTCTGTCCTGTGCCAATCGCACTGTCTCTGACACTCCCATCCCAATTATCCCAGTCACTGAATCAGTCCACCTCATAGAGGGCCTTCCTCTCCTGTGCTGTCCCTCCACCCTCCCAAGCATGATGTCCCTCTCTAAGGACTGGTCTCTCCTCACAACATGTCCAAAGTATGTTAGATGGAGCCTCAGAATCCTTGTCTCCAAGGAGCCACCTGGTTTAACCCTTTCCAGGACAAATCTGTTTGTTTTCCTAGCAGTCCATGGTATTCTCAATACTCTTCTCCACACAGCTCAAAGGCATCAATTCTCCTTCTGTTAGGGACCTCTCCAAAGTGCTGAAGAGCAATGGTGTCTCTTTGGATACAGGCTAGGGTCTTCGCAATCACCAAAAAAGCTTTACAAAGGAGAATATTATAACAAAATGTATAAAGACATGGAGGGAGAAAATCATAAGAATACACACTTTGCATTCCTCAAGTTGAAAGTAATGAAGAATTAAGTCAAGCCTTGAGTTGCAATACTGAAGGGCCTAATCTTGAATGGTGCAGTAAGCATCAAAAAAGATGGACAGAATTCAGAGAATAACCATACCAAAGAGAATTGGTCAACACTGAAACATTTCAGGAGGTAGCATATGATCGAGAACCAATGGCACTGAAGGAAGACGTCCAGTCTACACATGTGGAATTCGTGTCTCTCTCAGCCAGCCCTTTCCCAAGCTGTATCTTTAATGACACTACATCTGATGGACACAAATAGATGTTACAAGGAAAAGAATTTAATGGTTGCATACATGTGGAAAAAACCTGGATTTAAAGGTGTTAAATATAGGTAGATGGCAATACAAACATCATAATGAACAGGTTTCCTTTTTAAAAAGAAAAAATAAAGTTAAGTATTTTTTTCTAAGGGGTTTATTTGGGAGCTCTCATTGGCCTAGTGGCAAGAAGCTGTGCTGCAGTTCCAAAAGCATATAGTTCGAGACCACTAGCTGCTCTGCAGGAGAGGATGGAGTCTCCTCCTGAGCAATTAACTGCCTCTGAAAACCTGCCAAAGGGCCAACTGTGGGTCAGTTCCTGCTCGACAGTACACAACAACAGGAAATTGTCACATAAGGCTGTAGCAGCCAACCTTCAAACTAATTTTACCAAGAGGCGTGTTTCTCATAGAGTAGCCCTAGTGTTATTTGGAAGGCATTTTTGGCAATACAAAGGCTTCTGGGATTTTTGGCAATCCCAGGCCCTCAAGAAACAAAGAGCACACTCTAGCTGACTTTCTCAGCCAGAGTTCCTCATTTCAATCACAGAACAGAGAAAAATTATCTGAGTGACTCACTACCTCCCCCCTGTTCTTCCAGGGTTATTGTATTCTAGTTGCACTAGCATAAAGTTAAGTCATCCCATAAAATAGAATTGGGTGAAACACACGATCTAAACATCTCTCAGGAAACCCCATTTGCCAGAGAAATGAAAAGAGTGGAGAAATAGAGAAACCATTCTACTTCACCAGAGGGGAAATTACTAAAGATATGTTAACATTCTAGAAATTGAACACAATGCCTACTGTTGAAATCTTTTAACTGGGAACTATGACCTAATTCTTCACATTGTTTGAGTCTATATAAATTGCAGGGTTCTGTGTTGTCTTTACTAATAAAGCTGTTTTATACAGGGGAGAGATGTGACATGAACAATACTTAGGAAAGTGGAATGTATCCCCAGGAAATCAACTTTAGAGTGAGGGAGTCTGTGGTTTATATCTACTTAGGAACTTTGCTACCTTGCTCTTCTGCTGGTTCTGACCTTCTTAACCTTATCTGTTAAAACTGGGGTAATGAGTGAAACCTTCTAATCCCAGTGAGCTGTTAAGACCTTTAAATTTTATATAAGGTTGCATACTAGCAAGGCAAGTCATTTAATTTTTCTTAACCTTTGTTAAAATGATGATAATTCCTTCCTAGCCTCCTGTCATAGTAGATGGCTATGGATTCAGTCTCATTTTTACCTTTAAGTGACTCTATCCTGTAGATCATATAGAATGAATATATAGATATAGATATCTATATATATATACACACACACACAGATATATAGATATAGATAGATATACATATATGTATATATGCCATATCTTAGCTGATCCTTGAGTTTCTCATTCATTTCTGCAGGTCTTTTGTCTGAGGAAAATAATTGAGGGCCTTTGGCTTTCCTTCATGGATTGCACACATTTTCAACCTTACACTGAAGTTGTCTTGATGATATTAAAAGAAGACATAATTTGAAGCACATAATAACATTATTATTATAATTATTAAAGTACTTTGCTGAATGCTTTATGAGAATTACATTGTTTAATCCTTTTAACATTTCTCTGGAGATGATTTAAACTGATGTTTAAAGAGATGACATAACCTTCCCAAGGTCTCATCACTGTGACCAATTATAAATATTAGGGAGCAGAACTGGATCTAGCTGGCATTGTAACCTGAGCTATTAAGCTGACTAGTGCATGGCCTTTGTAAAAAGTTTTGACCAACAGGGTGGGTTACTTTATTTTAAAGGCTGTAATAAACCCATTGTGTTCCCAACAGGCTGTAGCATGCAAGATAAGGGTACATACAGGCTCCAGGGTCAAATTAGGTTCTGGCCCATCTGCTGCCTCTTACAGCTATGATTTCTTCATCTTAAATTGGTGTAAAAATGGCACCTGTCTCTTTAAGTTATTTGTAGTTATATAACATATGTATAATGATTATAACCATGTCTGTCATGTCATGTTGTTATTATTTTCATTATCTTGCATCAACACAAAGAACGTGCAGATTATAGTCTTGGCACCATTGGTTTTGTGACCTTAAGCAAGTCACTTAACCATAACTCCCGACAAAGTGATGATAATGCCTACACTGCCTGTTTCACCAACTCCTATGATAAATAATGTTGTTGTTGTTGTTGTTAAGTGGGCGACCCTATGAAGGAGAGTCCTCGATGCTTGGGTGCCTTTCATCCTCTCTCCAGGTTCATAGGGTTTCCGGAGGCAAACTATTATGGAAGAGGATGCCACTCCTCCTTCCACGCTTGTTTTAATCAGGGAGCTCCACCCCACTCTCTGTCCACATTGGGTAGCCAACCATTAACGCATTTGACACATCAGTGTCACAGTGTTCAGCCTCACAGCAACCACAAGTGACCGCGGGACAGCAACTTGTAAACCAGGGCTATACGACCTAGAGGAATGTCTGAACAAAAACAATGAAAGACTGGCCTGAGGGCCGCGGATTAAAAGTCACCCACCTTTGTCTTGGTAGCATCGTTTTCTGTCCACGGGGCCAGCTGATCTCTCTCTCTTTATTGATATTATTGTTGTTAAGTGCCATTGAGTCGCAGGTGACTCATAGCGACCCTATGAAGGAGAGTCCTCGACGCTTGGGTGCCTTTCATCCTCTCTCCAGGTTGATAGGGTTTCCGGAGGCAAACTATTATGGAAGTGGATGCCATTCCTCCTTCCACACTTGTTTTAATCAGGGAGCTCCACCCCACTCTCTGTCCACATTGGGTAGCCAACCATTAACGCATTTGACACATCCGTGTCACAGTGTTCAGCCTCACAGCAACCACAAGTGACCGTGGGTCAGCAACTTGTACACCATGGCTATATGACAAATATTGAATAGTATAGTTGTTCTAAAATTATAGGTTAATTTCTTAGAACTATCTCTACATAGATTTTTTAAAAAGTCATCTAAATACCATTTTAACATACAACTTAAGATAATTTTTAATAGTTATAAATTTTACATTCCTTATATTTTCAAATGTTTGTTTATTAAGATTTAAAAAAGACATTGAATAATGTACCCTTAAAATTCTCTTATAGGATGAAACTGTGACAATAGAAACAGCCTTTCCATTTGATGTTGCAGTCAGGTTTGTTTCTACAAAGGTATGTTCCAAAGCAGCATACGGCGAATCATTCAGGTATTAAGAATGGATGGATACTGTTTCTGAGAGAACTTTTTATCTTTATTTGTGACAGTTTGAGCACCTAGAGAGGGTCTATGCTGACATTCCCTTTCTGTTGATGACGGATATCTTAAGTGCCTCCCCATGGGCCCTCACTATTGTGTCCAGTGAGCTACAGCTTGCTCCTTCTATGATGCCTATGGATCATCTAGAGTCCCAGGTGGACAAAGGTGAGAATTGCAGTCATTCCCACATAATTACCAGATGTGTGTGCATGTGTATGTGAGAGAGAAAGAGCGCACAGTGTAAGTAAGAGTTCCCTGTTTTTGCTGAAAGAACACCTTCTTGATGAGAATTCAAACAACAGCCATTTAATTACCTTTATCTTCATCTTCCCTGTAAGTAGATTTCAATATCTTTTGATACATAACATTTATCAAGTGTATTACTATGAGGAGTCCTGCTCATCTCCCAAGAAAATACCAGAAAGAGCCCGGAACCTCTGCTTCACATCTATCCATTTTCCCCCCCCAAAAAAAGAAGCGTCAATGTTTCTCTTAGAATAATGGTGTATATAGTTGGGTTCTTGCATGAAAGTTTGGCATCAAATCTTTAAATAAGGTCAAAATACGATAAAAATGAAGCAAGCCCCAACCTCTAATTATTTTTAGTTTTTCTTATAAAATAAAAATTCATTATTATTAATTTTTCTTACCATTGTTGTTAGTTGCTGTCAAGGCAACTCAGACTTCTGACAACCTCACATATACAGAAGGGACTCCTCCTCAGGGTTTTCACTTCTCTGGCCTATGAAAATAGACTGCCAGTACTTTCTTCTGAGGCACTACTGGGGTCTTTTAGCAAATACTGAAGTGCTTATATATGTGCATCCTTCTCTAGTATTTAAATGCTAAAAATGTTTGAAGTTCTATAGTAGTAATAATAGTAAACAACATTTTATGTTTTTTGAATGCCTTCATAAATCTTGGTTGTTTTCATTGTTCAAGCTTTCTTGTTATTCTAGACATCAAGGTCTCTATGTCTGCTTTTCTGTCTTTTCCTACCTTGTGTTTTCACTGAGAAATTTGGAATAATCTTGAGATTTAGAGTCTGGCTGGATTAGTTTTATTCTCAGCCCTGTGCCTTCTTTTTGGTTAAATTGTGTGGGTCATTTTGTTTTATCACTTACTTCTCAGGGTGTTTCATTAGTTGTCAAGGTTAAAAGAGATAGTGTATGTGAAACAACATATATGGAATATCTTAGCCCAGTGTTGAACTTCTAATAATAATAAGCAGTCAGTGAAATTGGTTTATCTTTCTATTCTTTCTGATTTCTTGCCCTTTAAAGGTTAGTCATTTTCAAGGTCCTGACATTGGTTCCCTTTTCATTCTCAATGGCCTTATAAAACCTTACCACCAATTGCTATTATAGATTGGCTTGACTCATGGAGACCGCTTGTGTTTGTCAGAGTAGAATTGTCCTCCATGGGGATTTTAGTTGGTGATTTTTCAGAAGTAAGTTGCCAGACCTTTACTCCAGAGTGCCTCTTGGCAGACTTGCGTCTGTAACCTCTTGATTTGCAACTGAGTGTGTTAATCATTTGCACCTACTGGGAACCCCCATAGCTTTAGGTCATCTACATTTCCTAGTCCAGTTGGAAGAGTGATACCTAATCTAAGCTAGAAGCTACAGAGAAAATGAAATGTCTTCAAACAGCATGGTCATTCTGATTAACTTCTCAGAGCTAAGAAGAATTTTGGATGATTTTAATATGAATGGCTTTAAATTGGTACATTTTCTTTCCCTGTAAAGTTCCATATTGGATTACAATATTAATTTTTAGTCCTTGTTGTTGGTTGTTGTTGTTAGGTGCTGTCGAGTCAAGTGCAACCCATCGAGACCCTGTGAACAACAGATTTGAACTCTGTCCTATCCTGTGCCATCCTCCACTTCCTGACACACTAGAGCCCATTGCACCAGTCACTGTGTCAGTCCACCTTGTTGAGGGTCTTGCATTCCTTCGCTGACTCACAACCTTTCCCTCTGCCATGCCTCTGTCATGGCCGAAGTATGTAAGGCGACACTTTATAATCTTTGTCTCCAAGAAGCACTATGGCTGGGCTGCATTTTCTCCAAGATAGATTTGGTTTTTCTTTTGGCAGTCCATGCGATGTTCAGTACCCTTCTCCAGTACCATAGCTCAAAGGCATCAATTCTTCTTCTGTCATCCGTATTCATTGTCCAGCTCTCAGATACATAGCAAGTGATCAGAAAGACCATGGCCTGAATTAGATGCACCTTAGTCTTCAAACTGATGTCATTATTCCTCAATAATTTGGAGAGATACCTAACTACAGACTTTCAAGTGTAGTATGTCTCCTGATTTCCTGACTGCTGGTAGCAAGGGTGTTGATTGTGGATCCAAGTAACATAAAGTTGTTGACAGTTTAAATATTTTCTCTCATGAGGTTGCCTATTGGTCCATTGGTAAAAACTTTTTGTTTTCTTGATGTTGAGATGCAATCCATATTGAAGGCTGTATTTGATCTTTTGCAACAAGTGCTTCAAGTCCTCCTCACTTTAAGCAAGCAAGATTGTGTCATCTGCATAATACAGGTTATTGATGAGTCTCTCTAGTCTTGATGCCACATTCTTCATAGACTCCAGTTTCCTGAATAACTTGCTCAACATAAAGATTGAATAGGTATGGAGAGAGCATACTGCCATGACACACTCCTTTCTTAATTTTAAACCATGTTGTGTTCCCTTATGGGAGCACTGTGGTCTAGTGGCAAGAAGCTGCACTTCAGTCATGAAGGCAAACAGTTCAGATCCACCAGCTGCTCCAAGGGAGAAAGATGGGCAGTCTCTCTCCTCTTACGCCTTTGAAAACCCTCTGGAAGGTTAGCTGTGGGTCGGTTCCAACTTGATGGTACACAACAACATCTACAGCGTTCCCTTATGCTGTTCATACAACAGCCTCTTGGTCTAGGTATAGCTTTTACATGAGCACTAATAAGTGCTATGGGATTTCCATTCTTTTCAATGTTAGCCATAGCTTGTTATAATCTACAAATATCAAATGCCTTTCCATTGCCAATAAAGCATAAACAGACATTCTTCTGGTATTCTTTAATCCCTGTAATTACTTAAAAGTAATTCATTAAAGTAAAAATAATTAATAATTCTTTTCTGTTTCACTGCTGGTGAAAAAAAAACCCCTCAATGCCATAGGAGTCCAGTCAGATTCATAGTGAGTGACCCACCATCAGGTTTCCAAGACCATGAGTCTTTAGGGGAGAAAACTACTCGTCTTTCTCCTGTGGAATGGCTGGTAGATTCAAACTGCTGACCTTTTGTTAAGGACTGTAGCTCCAAATCTCTCTTAATCTATCACAGATTTTTTAAATTATAAAACCATGGACACAGTTACAAATTGTAGATATTTTGTTGTTACTATTTCAAAGATTTCATTCACAGATTTACTAAGATTGGCTTAGGTAGGCACTGTTTCTCATTTGTATTCAAAGTGTTGTTGCAGATGGTTAAGTGTTGAAGGAGAGGGGCAGTTGGACAGTTGTCCATTTATCAGGGAATTTACTATAAACTTGGTAAGAGGAAGTATCATTGCACAAGAAACCACCTTAGGCAATAATGAAGCAATATGTAATATTTTTCTTGCTGGATGGTGATACGTATTTACTCAGAGAAGGTCACTGAGAGATCGCACTGTGATATCTTCAATAATAATCAAAATTTCTTTGTTTTCCCCCATCCTGAAATGTTTCTAGTTACAGAAAGAAAAATAATCAGCCTTTGGTATTATTCTGGTGTCCAGATATCTTCCTTTTACTATTTCTCGTGAGAACTTACCACAGGCACAAAGTACCAGTTTTTGTTTGTTTGTTTCAGGTTAAAAAAACACAAAAACCAATATATTCATGTATTAAGGAAAATTCTGGTTAGGAAACTAGGAGAAGGTATTTGATTAATCACCCTAAATACCTACTGGTTTTATAGCTCTGACAGACCCACTTAACCTCTCTGAACTTTAGTTCCTAAGTCTCTAGAAATAATATGTAAATAATAAGATATTCCTTTTCTGTTGTATTGCTTTGGCTTTGAAACTCTAATAAATAAGACCATTGCCTAGGGCTCATGAGAGCCTCTTGCTTGTAGTTGTCTTACAGACTGGAGAGAGTGCTAGTGAATGTTTTTGTCTTCGGTGTCCATCTATTGGAAATGTTGAAGGTGGAGTCGCAACTGGACATTATATTATCTCCTGGAAGAGGTAATAGTAATAATCATATATTTTTAAAAATGCCATTGCTATTCTAATACTTTGATTATTTGCTGTTGCCACTGAATAATTAAGAACTTCTGTCACTCTAGAGAGCAGAAAACAAGGGGCCATTCTCTTCAGTGGATCTAATGGAATCATTTATCCAAAATACAAACTAAAAAGGATAATGAAACCTTTATTTTTTGTATTTGTGACCTACATATTGGTGAAATTTTAGCAAAACTAAATCTGAAGAGTCAATTTTCTACATCAGTAGAGACAAAACTGCCCTTACTTTCAGTCATTAGTTTTGTCTGTTTAGAAAATCCGAGGAAATCAATAATGAATTAGTTGATGAGTCTAACATCAATATATAAAAATTACTTAGGAGGGATCAGTCCTTGGAGAGGAACATCATGCTTGGGAGGATGGAGGGACAGCACAAGATAGGAAGACCTTCAATGAGATGGATTGATTCAGTGACTAGGGGTAGGTGTGTTAGAGACACTAAGATTGTCACAAGATAGAGCAGGGAATAGAGCTGTTGTGCATAGGGTCTCTATGAGTCAAGCAACTTGATAGCACATAGCAACAATCATTTAACATTAATGTGTTGATAAATGCAGCTATAGTTTATTCATTTTCATACATAGAAATTGCAGTTGCAATATTTTATGTGTTTTATAAAAGTAAAATGCAAATAAACATAAATTTTTTTTACATAAAATTTGAAAACATGTAAATCACTCTATATTGTTTGAGATTATATACCTGATCGGGAAAAATATGACAAAATACGTAAGAATGGTAGATGCAATTCTGGATAGTACCGAATTGTGGAAATCAGAGGTAAACCTCTAGACAATAATTTTAATATAGCTATCATATATGAAACCATGTCTAAGACTGTATCTAATAGACTATTGTATTTATGGAGGAAATGATAAAACTTCAAAATGTTGTTGTTGTTGTTATGTGCCGTCGAGTCGTTTCCAACTCATAGCGACCCTATGCACAACAGCCCTAAACCCTGCTCTATCCTGCACCAACTGCACCGCCTCTGACACACCCATCCCGATTACCCCAGTCACCGAATCAATCCATCTCATAGAGGGTCTTCCCCTCCTGCGCTGTCCCTCCACCCTCCCAAGCATGATGTCCCTCTCCATGGACCTGTCCCTCCTGGCAACATGTCCAAAGTATGTCAGACGAAGCCCCAGAATCCTTGCGTCCAAGGAGTAGCTTGGTTTAATCCTCTCCAAGATGAATCTGTTTGTTTTCCTGGCAGTCCACGGTACATTCAGTACCCTTCTCCAGCACCACAGCTCAAAAGCATCCACTCTCCTTCTGTCCTCCCTAGTCATTGTCCAACTCTCTGATGCATAACAAGTGATTGCAAAGACCATGGCCTGTATCAGGCGCACCTTAGTCTCCAGAGAGACACTGTTGCTCCTGAGTACCTTAGAGAGGTCCCTAACAGCAGACTTTCCCATCGCGATACGCTTTTTGATTTCCTGACTGCTGGTGCCAAGAGTGTTAGCCGAGCAAACTGAAGCTGTGAACACTCTCAAAACTTCAAAATAGCAAAGGAAATGTTAAGTAAATGGAAGAGATAACAGATTGGTTTAGAGTCAGTGCTGTTTCCTAATAAGGATATTTGCCCTTCCAGATTCTAAAACTGGTTATAGAGGTACGGTAATCAAACATTATTGTATCGGCATGAGGATATGTAAATAAACTAGTGAAACAGAGAGCAAATTTAAAAATATATTAATAGATGTATTTCATATGTGGAAAAAGTATTTAACAACGGTAGTATCAGTGGGAAAATAATCTCATAAAAATTTTTTGGTTAATGGTGTTACGTTCCATCAAGTCAGACCGACTCATAACTGACCCTCCAGTGGATTTTCAGAGGCTTTAAATCGCACTGGAGGAGTTTGCCCATCTTTCTCCTGCGGAACAGCCGATGGATTTGAAACTGTCTACCTTTGAGTTAGCAGTGGGACTTCTTACTCATTAGACCACTAGAGCTCCCATCTTCATTATTAGGCATAGAAAATTTATCTCCAGTGTGAACACTCTGTAAAGATTATTTCTAGATGGGGATTAGTGTGTCAGAATCAATGAGACTGGCTCAGGACAAGGCAGGCTTCAGAGCTGTTGTACACAGGGTCTCTATAGGTCTCAGGCAACTCGATGTTGCATAACAACAACAAGAAGCATTGTTTAAAAAGAAAAACAGCTGGTCGGGAAAACAAGAGCATTACTTTATGATTTGACGGAAGGAAGAATTTCGTAAGCATTGTTGTTGGTTGTTGTTATATGCCATCCAGTGACTTCTGACTCATAGCGACCCTATGTACTACAGCTCTGAACCCTACTCTATCCTGTGCCAACCTTATTGTCTCTAACACACCTACCCCCATTACCCTAGTCACTGAATCAATACATCTCATCAAGTATCTTCCTCTCCTGCGCTGTCCCTCCAAACCCTCCCAAGCATGACATCTCTCTCCAAGGACTGATCCCTCCTTGCAACATGTCCAAAGTAGTCAGACGAAGCTTCAGAATCCTTGCCTCCAAAGAGCAGCCCAGCTTCACCCTCTCTAGGATTCAAAAAAAACAAACAAACATACTAGGCATTTGTTATTAGGTTCTATTAAGTTAGCTCTGACTCATAGCAGTCTTCTGTACACAAGGATAAAATGTCATTGCCCAGTCGTGCACCATCCTCTCATACATTGCTGTTTGACCCATTTTTGCAGACACTATTCCACCAGCCACTAAAGTTGGTGAATTCAATAGATTTCTTAAATACTTCTTTTCATTTAAAAACACATAAAAATGGTGGGGGGAAACTGTGAAAAGGTATTAAGTAGTTTAAATTAGAGGACACCACAGCAGGTTGCCAATAAATATATTCTGAAATTCACTCTTACTGTTAAGTAGAAATGGCAGATTAAAGCCACACTGAATTTCAAATGTGCTTCTACTGGTTGGAAAAGTAGAAAAGCTTAGCAGTACCAAAGTTAGAACAAGCCATTTGGAACTCTTTTTTAGTAGCATCAGGTGAAGTTTGAGATAACCATATTCTACACAAAGGAAATGTATTTAAGAATGATCAAAGCAGTATGGACTACATACCATTAAAAAAATTGAATGTAAAACTAGATATTCATCAAGGAATAAACCCATTCACACAGCAGAATACGATATACCAATGAAAATGAATGAATCAGAGCTGTATCTGTTAGCATACTAAGAGAACAAAATGTGTTACAGCTGAGAATATGAATAAATTCTATTTATATAAAAACTGAATATTTAAATGTTGCTTAGGGTCACACAGCTAATAAGGAAAAGTAAGGTGAAATGCTGGGTATTGGTAGGTACTAATTCTGGATAGTGGTTCATTGTAGAAAGGAGAAGTATGTGATCAAAACAAGTAGGGGTACACAGATGAACTCAAATCTAAAGTTTTCTTAGGCTAGGAATGGAGGCATTCTTTAATTACTGAATTCTTCTACCTAAATAAGAAGACAAATATTTATTAATGTTGAAAGCTTAGATGGCTTGTGCTACCTTAATAATATAAAGACAAATATTTATTAATGATAAAGGCTTAAATAGAGTATGCAGTGACTCAGCCATTCCACCGTTGCTTCAAGGGCAGCCACCCATACTAAGTAAATATTCAGCAGTTTCTTAATGTTACTTACTTTGAATAACCACAGGGATGCTATTACAATTATTGACAGATGTTTTTAATTCTGCAGTTACTGCTATGTACTTGAGTTTTGGTTATAATAGTACTCATCAAAGTCTGAAGACTGATTAAGTGTCTGTGAACTGTTCTGAGTGAAATGAGTTTATGTCATAATGTAAATCACCACAGTAATTCCTTCAGTAAGAAAGTCTCACTACCAAAACACTGAATTTAAAAGGTGTGTGCTTCATGATGTAGTTAATTCATAGTCTAGCACAGCTTGTTGATTCATCCATCACTCACTGGTAGTGTAGCATTAAATGAAAATGTTTGCTAATGGGAAATACTAAAAACACAAATGAGATTCAAAAAGTTCTTACTTCATAAAAGTATTCTTCACTAACAGTGTAGAAAACAAAGAAATACCTTTACGTTCAAATTAGTTGTTGACTGTACATGTTGATGTTTGATTTTGGTTCGTTGACTCCTTACATCAAATGTGAGTTTGAAAGGTGGCATTCTCTTCTAGAACTTCAGCCCTGGAAAACATTCCCGTCATCAGTACCATCATCACTCTACCACATGTGATTGTAGAAAACATCCCTCTCCACGTGAACGCAGGTAATGGAGTTCATGTTTTACTTGAGAAGAATTTAATAATTTTTATTTTGCTTGCAGGATTTTCTTTTCTAATGTTTTATTTTGAAAATTTCCTAGCATTTATAAAAGTAGGTTGAAGCCTGTTTTGTTTCATCTGTATCCTTACACACTCCTCCTACCACCGCTTTCGTTTATTTTGAATTGGGATGCAATAAAATCTACCCATTGCAATGGACTCATTAGACTTTTAACACCTTTTTAATCTTTTAAAGGCAGGCCAACTCTTCCTCTCCTCTTCATTCTCCCTCCTTTCCATTTTATTTCATCCCCATCCTCTCCTCCACCTACCCTCCATGCTTTCTGCACCACTGTCCTCTCTTCTGCCTCCTTCCTGATTTCTGCATCTCACCTCCTTTATATCATCTTTACTCCTCACACCATCACCTCAGCCTTTCTCCTTCTCTTCCTTATTGTGTACTTTTTGAAGAAACCTAGTCATTTGTCTTATAGAGTTTCCCACAGATTTTGCTGATTGCATGGTATATTGTAAGTATTTTTCATTGATGGAAAAGATTCAGGTTTAAGAATTTGGCTAGAATACTTCATAGTTGATGATATGTACTATATATTCTGCCATCAGGAGGTATTAATATCTATCATTTCTTTTTTATTAGAATATTCTTATAAGGAGAAATTTCTCTTTATAAATAATTAGGATACGCTGGTGTCTGTAGTGTTTGACAAAAAGTATGTGTATATGTATAAGGGGGAAAATCTTATAGTTTTACTAAAACATGCTTTTGCTTGCTTTAATTTAACAAAGCTAGTTGATATCTAGGAGAGTCTTAGATATTTTTTTTTAAATATTTTTTTAAAGGCTAGCCTTGAAACTGTGAGATGTTGTGATCCTATACAGAGTAAACTTCTCTGTATACAAAAATCTTCTATGCTATTAAAGGACTTTAACAAAGTTAAAGACACAGAGTCAACAAGTAAAAATATTGTTGAGTTTTTTCTACACTGTTATTGTTGTTATGTGCCTTGGAATCTACTGCAACTTCTAGCAACCCTATGAACAACAGCTATGAACCTTGCCCTATCTTTGCCACCCTCACCATCTCCAATATACTTGAGTCCACAGTTATAGTTACCATGTCAATCTATCTTGTTGAGGGTCTTCCTCTCCAGTGCTGACCCTGCTTTATCTCGATATTCTTCTCCAAGGACTGGCCCCTCCTAGCAACAGGACCAGAACATGGGAGATGAAACTTCACCATCCATATCTCCAAGGTCACACTTTCTCCAAGATAGGCCTGTTTGTCCTTTGGGAAGTGTAAGGGATGTTCAGCACTCATCTCCAGATACCACATCTCAAAGGCACTGGTCCTTTTTCTGTCATCCTTAATCATTGTCCCAACTTTCAGATGCATAGCAAGTAACCAAAAAGACCATGGTCTTTTAAAACGATGTACTTTCTCATCGACACTTTGGACAGGTTCCTGCTAGATTTTCCCATTGCAAATACAACTTTTGATTTCTCGACTACTGGTGTTATACATTGTTGTTGTTGTTGTTGTTATGTGCCCTCGAGTCGTTTCCGACTCATAGCGACCCTATGCACAACAGCCCTAAACCCC